TATCTATCGATTTTCCTATGAATGACTCTAATTTCTCATTCTTAATGGCTGAGTAGTAGAGTCATTTAAATTTAGATAAGGCCAATGTATCATTTGATCTATATTACCAGGAAATAAATACCTTGCTTCAATTGGTAGGCAATAATGGTCCTTTACATGTTCCTGGGAAATAGTTCTCTCATGCCAATAGGGTAACCTGGGAATTTACAGGGGATTCAGATGAACACCTGTTCCATTCTCTTAGACACATTTTTAGATTATATATTTTATTTTTAATTTATTAACACTTAGGATTCAGTGTACTGTATCATTCTAAATAATCTGTGACAGGATAATCCTTTGCCCAATTTTTGAAATGGAAACTTTCAAAATAGATGAAATCAGTTAATTTAGGAATGACATTGTTTCTTCTATACCTCCCCGAAACTTCAGTTTCATTTTCATTCTTATTACCAAATACTCTCCACTACCATTGACAATGCTAAAAAAAAAAAATCTATAAAAATTAGTATGCATGTGCTTACAGTCTTACTGTGTTCATTAAAAAAAAAAACAGGAAGAGGAATCAAATAAACTATGGTATTTAAGAATTTCACACATTTTACTCGCTGCATTGTACACACACAATTCAATCTAGACTGTACGTAAGATGAGTTCATTATCTCTATTATGACTCTTGAGTGATAATACGAGAGCATTTCTGCAAATCGTATAGCCTATATTAGCTACTATTTGTAATTTTTAAGAATTTATTAACAAGAAAAAATAACCCTGTAGATAAGATTATATATTATCTGTGACAAAAAGTTGTGCCTGTAAAGTCTGAATAAATCTAATCAGATCTGGATAATAAAATTGAAATTTCATCATCATGCTAACTATAAAAATAGTGGACAATGAAATTCAGTTGCTAGGGTACAGAAGGGAGTAATTTTACATACAATAGCTGAGACTGGTGAGTAGTTTGAAAAGAAGATTGAGAAGTTTATTCACCTCAAACTTTAAGTGAAATAGATATAATTTCAATAATAGTCAGTTAGAGATAGAAATAAAGTATAAGTGCTTTAAAATTTGTTAAGACAATATAAGACAAGCAATATATGAAAATAAACAAAAATGTCAAGTATTGGCATAAATAATAACAAATCCAACAAGGTAACAAAGTGAAGAACCAAACTATGTCTTTATATATTGAAAATCTTTATACATGATGTTAATGACTGGAAAATTCCAAAACTAGTACTAAAACAAATAATATAAAAACAGCCAAAACATAGGATGTCAGCCAATATATAAAAATAAAAAAATTCCAAATATATTAAAGGTATATTTGAATGGAAAATATGTCTGCATTTCAGAACAGCATGCCTCTTTCATAACGCTTCAGAGATTATGAAAACTTTATTAAATGTGACTTAAAAGCAAAAGCAAAAAAGTAATGATTGATAAATATGACCATATAAATATTTTAGACAAAAAAATAAAATAAAATAAAATAAAAATAACGGGGCCGGGGATTTAGCTCAGCAGTTTGGTGGCCTGCCTTGCAACTGCAAGCACCCGAGTTCAATTTCTGGTACAAAAAAAAAATTTAGATTTTTGCTCTTCAAAAATATCCTAATTTGTGAAATCATATTTTCATTGCATAAACATTATTATTATTTAAAATATGTAGGAAAATCTACAATTCAAAAAGTAATAAAAGGTTTATTTTATATATACATACATAAGAGACTAATCTAACAAAAATCAAGAACAAATTACTATTCATATAAGGAAAATTTGGGAATACAGGAAAATATTCAAATTTTTTGCATGAAATGAGATGGAATAATAATACATAAGAAATCAGTGAACTGAAGCTACATTATTGAATTGGGAATATTAAATTAAATGAATATTACATTTAGTAAGCAGATTGCAAAAGCCAGATAATTAATACAAAGTAAAATTTGTAAAATTTATTTAGGAATTGTATATGAATATGGAGTGTGATGTTTTTAAAAGTTACAGAAATGATAGGAAGCAAGTCACTCTCTATGAGTGAAAGAGGGATATCATCTGTCAAGATAAACAGGAGCTTCAAATGCACATAGTGAACAGCATATAAAAAGGCAGCTGTTAATGTCATAGTATTTAAGTTTAATGTTATTATTTCTATCGTTTCAAATACTACATGAATTTTTAACTGAAATAATTTGTATGTTCTCATGTTACTCAGAATTCATTTTGTTACTGAAATGTTTATATATAAAGTTTTCTTAAAAGATGCATTTTTATGATAATCCATCTCCAAGGTCATGCACAGTAAATTGTCTTTGAAATATAAAAAATATCTTCGCTTATTAATATTTTAGCACATTTTCTAAATGTAGAAATAATTTTGAGTAATAGTGTTAATAGCGGAAAATCTGTTTTAGTGTCCTTAAAATTATTTTCCTTTGTTTTGAAATTAATTTTCAAATCTTGAAGCTCATACTATTTACTAACACATAAATTTTATTCATCACTTCATTAAAGTGCATTTATATTTTTTGTTCTATTAATAATAAATATCAAGCTGCAAGATAAGATACAATAAGTAATTTGTAACCGATAGGGACATTATAATGTTAACATTACAACAACAAAAGAATGGTAGAAATGATTATAACAAAAGATAAAAAGCAAAATGTTAATAAATAGAAAACATAATTTTTACATTATTCCTCGCCTCCCACAGTTTTCATATCACCATAATCCAAGTGGATGAAAAGACTCAATAATAGGACATTCTTCTTCTTTACTCTCATGATTTGAATCATATGTACATCATTTTTCTGTAAATGTTTTTCATTTTACAAGATTTTTTATTTTGAGTGCAGGGAATAAGGCTGGAAATTTATATACTCTGATGAAATTCCACTCGAGCAAGTGATCAATACACCAAATTAAATATCTATTCTATTTATTTACCCACTCTTTGAAAAATAACAACTAGGAAAGTTAATATATGTTAATAATAATTTTCAGATAAATGTAAGCAAAAATAAACTTTTACCTACTCAGGAAATAAAGGTAATAAAGTTATGTTGGGTCCACAAATTCTATGAGCAGGTGTTATAAAGAACATTTTTTTAAATGCACGAAAATTTATTAAGGAAATTGAAAACTTACAATATTTGGTGTAGAATAATCGAGTAAAGTTAAAATAGAAAGAAAAATGGGCATATGACTTGTATGAAGCAAATAGCAAAATGATAGGCACAATGAAAATTGTATCCATGGTACATTAAATGTGAATGGATTAAACAATCAATGCAAGGGCAGAAACTGTCAGGCCAGGATTATAAAAAAAAGTAGCCTAACTTCTAAGGTATAATTAAATAATAACGTGTGTTCAAAAATTATTATAGTAAGAGATACATTACCATCAATTAACCTTAAAATATTCCCTTAATTTTGAAAGCCCTTATCCCATTATTTCTGCTAGTTTCTGAAGGAATTCTGTAAATCCTTTCTTGAGTGCTTTTAGTTGGATTGTTGTCAGTGCCTCAATGTACTGAACTGATTCCAAATGTTTCCCTTTCATGGTCATCTTGACTTGAAGAGCCACAAGTCCTACAGGGCCCAGCTCTGATGAATAAAGTGGATGAAAGGAGACCTTAATGGTTTTCAGAGCTCGCCTTTCCAGTAGATGGCGCTCAGCAGCAGCATTTACTGAATTTTGTTCAACCTCATAGACACTCAGAAAGGAGGATTTAAAGAAATGCTTCAGAAAGTGGAAAGTATGATAGGATAAGTGCATTCAAAGTGGGGAGGAGCATTTCAAGGGAGATTTATCACAATGTATTTTTTACTCTAATAAAAATTTATATTCAAACATTCACTGTATAAGTTGATCAGCCATATACATTTTTTCTACCAGAAAAACAATTAATATTAATAGATTGAAAGTAAATTAACGCAAAATGATATTCCATGGAAGCACTCACACCAACAAAAAGCTGGAGTCACTGTATTAATATCGAGAAAGTATTTCTAGCAAAATAATACTTAACACAAATGAGATTTATCTAAAGATAAAGAGGAAAATTTAAAATTACAGAGACATTTGTAAAAACAAAATACTACATTTATAAATGAAAATATATTTAAATAAAAAGACAAATAAAATTTAATTGCGTTAAGCAAAGCTGATATAAATGAAGGTACAAAATAAATTTCTGCAATAATAATCACAGACTTCAGTACCCCTTTTTGCAAATGTACATAGCAACCATGAAAAAGATTAAAACAGAAATAGAACTAAACAACATTTAGATCAAATGGCCTATTATATATCTACTGGACACTTGAACTCCAAAAAACAAATAAGTATTCTTCCCAAAGTTCTCAGGGAGCAGAATGAATATCAAGCTACAAAACAAATAAAATCAAGTGCAAAGGAAAAAATCATACCACATATATACTCCAACCAAGATGAAATAAAAGTAGAAATTACTGTCAAGAAAATCACAACCATGTGGGAGCAACATATTACTATGTAACTAATGGGCCAAAAACTAAATCACAGAACTCCTAGTACCTCCCAGTCTTCCGAGAAGGAGTTTTTCCTCGTCCTGTGGGGAGGAAACTGTTGGTTTCTCCAGATCAGTCGCTTCAACAATTGATCACCTTTGAAGACAGCTTGTCCTCTCTTTGGAATACTGAGGGTTATAAATTATGAGGCAGACTCAGAAAAGTACTAACTTCAGTAAAATGGAATACATGGCCCCAACACAGCAAAAACAGTGAAACTTGTATCAACAGAACCAACATTATCAGGAAAAGAAAGCAAAAAAGAAACAGTTAAATGGCAGTAAATCAAATGCTGACTCAAAACCGAGGCAATAAGGGCAAGGATTTAGCTCAGTGGTACTGCATCTACTTTGCAGACACAAGGTCTTGAGTTCCAATAGCCAGTACCCCCCAAAAAAGCAACATATAAAAAAATATATTTGTGATGTTTTTTACCTTACCATTCCTCTGGCATGGTTATAATCAAGAAGGCAATCTATCTTCCCAGGGAAGGACCCTAGTGCCAGTTTCTGGAGAGAAGAGAACAAGAACACATTTGCAACATTTGTTTTTATACTGAAATCTTTGAAGACTATCTGACTAACTAAGCAGATGCTAAGCAATCAGTCACATAATTCAAAACTCAGACTGGGGAAAAAGGAAAGGTTTCCATAAAACTTAGCAGACAATATAAAATCTCAAAAATTCCCTGAGCAAAATATTAATTTTTCAATATATTGTATTCTTCCTGACCCCAGAAATGAAGGTCAGGGAGGAAGGTAGTATTTTGTAGTAAATGAAGATATTCAAAAGCACTCAGAATTGCAGAGTAATTTTAAAAGCCATGTATATGTCAGTGCAAGACATATGTTCAGCAAGTATCTGGGAAGACCTTAAGCTGTTTTCATCTGAGGTTGATGCCTAGACTTACTGCATGTCTGGATTAATATCCAGAAAGTACTATAATATAGAGTTTGTATTAGTTGCAGTGTACTAGCGGAAAAAATTTAATATGATTTATAAGATAAACTTACAATGGCCACATGCAGAGTCAGATGTGGAAAAGTGCAAAATGACTGCCCTTGTGCTGAAAAGATAAAGGATCCAGTTGAAGGTCAAAGGCCTGATTGTATAAACTGACTTCATCTTTACTTTCATCAGTGATTCATTGATGATTCAAGAGAGTATTATTTAATTTTTATTTGTTTTCATGGTTCATATGAGTTTATTGCAATTTATTTCATTGCACTATGATCTGATAATATGCATGGGACAATTTAAATTATTTTGCATTTATTTAACCATATTTTATTGGCTAGTATGTGTTGTATTTTAGAGATAATCACATGTGCTGCTAAGAATAATGTATATTCTGTTGTTAGATCAAGGTACTTTGTAGATATCTGTTAAGTGCATTTGTTAAAAGGTTTGGTTCAACTCTGATATTTCTTGGTTGATTTTTTTTGTCTAGTTTTGATGTGTTCATTTGTGAGTGTGGGGTATTGAGGTCTCCCATTACTAATATATTGATGTTTACCTTATTTTTATATCCATTATGGTTTGTTTTATGTAGCTTGGTGCACCAATATTTGGTGTATATATGTTTATAATTGCTAAATTTTCCTGTTGAATTGTTCTCTTAACTAATATGTAGTTCTGATCAGTCTTGGTTTGAAATCTACTCTGTCTGAAATTAAGGTAGTAATTCCTGCTTTTTTTAATGGGTTCCCATCTCATAGATTACTGTTTTTCATCTTTTTATTTTTAATCTGTACTTTTAAAATTAAATACGTTTGAATTAAAAATGCTACATATTGTTGGGTTTTCTTACTTGATACATTCTACCAATCTGTATATTTTGATAGGGGAATTGTAAGCTTTCACAATGAGAGTTACTAATAAATGGTATTGACTTATTCCTGTCATGTATTATTTTTCTGTTGCTGATTTTCTAATTTTGCCCCTTTTGCTGATCTCTTCCGTCCAAGTATTTTCATTCTTTTTTACATTGTTGGCTTCATTATCTATTTTCAGAATATTCTCGAGAATTTTTTAATGCTAGTTTGGTAGTCATGAATTTATCTAAGTGCTCCTTGTCATGAAAATGCCTTATTTCTCCATCAATTTTAAAGGATAGTTATTCAGGATACATAAGTCCAGGTTGGGAGTTATTATCTTTGAAGGCTTGAAACAATTCACTCCAAACTCTGCTGGCCTTTAAGGTTTGTGTAGAGAAGTCTCCTGTGATATTAATGGATTTACTTTTGTTGTATTTTTTGCCTTCTCTGACAGCTTTTAATATTTTTGTCTTTGTTTTGGACTTCGGGATTTTGAGTATTATGTAAAATTTAGAGGTTTTCTTTGATCATGGCTGCTTTGTGCTCTATATGCTTCACTTATTTGCATGTTTTTTTCTTTACACATATTTGGGTGTTTTCTGCCATTATTTCTATGAACTATTCTTTTATGTCATTTATGCTGCCTTCTGGCTTTCACATATTGCAATTATTCATAGATAAGTCTTCTTTGCATCATCTAGCAGTTGTTGGATTAATTTTTATTTTTTATTTCCATTTTTAAAGTGTATTTGAGTAACTGATCTTTGAAAGCATTATTATCTTCTAGTTTTGAAATTCTATCCTTCCTTTGCTCCATCCTGCTGCCAATACTTTCAAACTGAATTTTAATCTGGATTTCTGATTGAAACTTTTTCATGTACTCTAATTCTTTGGTGAACTGGTAATTCATATTTTGTTTCATTTTATTCAGTATATCTAGCTGTCTATGAGTGACTTCTGAGAGCTCTTATACTTTTTGGTTATTATTTCCATTATATGATTAGGTATATTTTCTCTAATCCTGCTATCTCCTTGAGTGAGCTGTTTTCTATCCTCTTACGCTATGCTTTCTAATTCATGTGTGTGGTTTATACTATTCTGCCCCTTGGTGCCCCTTAGATTGCTTTTGGGGAACCTGAATTTTTTGGGGAGGCTTTTTGTTGCCTTTTCTTATGATGATTCTATTAATTGATTTTTTTGTTTTGTTTTGTTTTATGGTGAGGTTCATTGAAACCTATAGTCTAAAGATTTTAATGTTAGTATAGACATCTCTTTAGTTTCTTTTCAGTGATATACTTTGATTGTGGCTAACTATAATCTTTTGCCACAGCCCGAAGATTCAATCACTTTAATTATTTTGGGAAAGGAGGATGCAGTATAATCAGTCTGACAACCAACTTCTCTGAGAATGTACTCTAGGATTGTTAATATTAAAAAGGCAACCTGGGGCTAGGGATTTAGCTCAGTGGTTCCATGACCTTCCTCAGAGGCTCAAGGACCTGAGTTCAATTCTTGGTACAAAAAAAAAAAGCAACTCAAGTGTTGGTTTACAGAGAAATAGTGACAATTATGTGAACCTGTTACTATAAAGTGAAATAGCTACAGTAATATTGCCCAAGACAAATTAGATATTAACATACCATAAGAAATGGTCATGTAACACCCTTATTCCTAGAGAAGTTATGATCAATTATAATGCAAACATTAAGGAAACCCAGGTATTGCTGTATAGCTAACATGTACTAAATGTGACAGCTATATTTCTGCTATTATAGGAAAAATTCAACAGTAATTTTACAGAGTTAACTATTAATTATTAACAAACCTTTGTGGTTATTCTATTTAATATTTAGTTTTTGGTAATGGGGTGCAAAAGGAAATTTTGAAACTTCAAACTCTATGATACAAGAGGGAGAAAAAAAGATGTGATGCAAAGGATTTTAGCAGGGAGTAAAAAGATGTATACTGAATTATGTAAAAGTAAGACAAGAAAGAAGATAAAAGAAAATAGAAAAATAAATTATACAGAGAGTAACAGAGAAGTAATAAGAGAACAATTAAAAGGCAGAAGAGGGAAAAATACAGAAATAAAAGAAGAAAAGGAGAGTATAAGCACAGATAAAGGAAAAAATAAGATGACTCCAGCTTCAGGAAACTGCTAAAGAAGGCAGGAGGAGAGGAGAGAAGAAAAAAAAAATCAGAAACAAGAATAAAACATAACAAAAATAGTAAAAAATGTTCACACACACACAAGTTAAATAATAAAAAAACAAGAATTGAAGAAAAAAATTAGAGCAAAGAATAAAAAAAGAAATTTGTCCATGATTTCAAACCTGTGATTATCTTCTGCAGTCTAGTTTTGTGACACTGTCTAATTCAATGAGTGACTCTGTTCTCACTGGCAGACAAAACTAGCAGTCATTGCCCAGCTCCATGCTAGGTAATCACCAGCAAACTGGCAGTAGGATTAGAGGGTGGTGCAGGTTCTGAGACTTCCAAATCCATAAAAATTCAGGCCAAATCTAGCTCTGGTCATGGGTCCAAGGCCTGAATTGCTTAAAACATTCTGAGTTTCTCTTATCAGCCTGACCTGATTCCCCAAACATCTCCCCTGCTTGTCCCTCACCCAGTCATTGTAGGATTTTAACACTGAGAGCCCTAATATAAAGTCAACTCACATCTGCTCTTAGTTTCATGTTTGCCTGAACCCTGGCTGGAATGGCGTTTGACCAAGCACTCTCTTCAGGAGATGGCAGAACCTTGAAATGGAGACATTCACCAGCTGTTGTAACCACACAGCACCTCCAGCTCCATTCCACTAGTGCATTTACCCCTGAACACCTTGGGAGAGCCACTTTCACTATGTCTTTGTACATTCAGATCTTCCTTTTTCATAAGCCAGGAGCCAGGAGCCAGAAAGAAAGTACATATTGACCCTTCTTTTTCTTCATTGTGGTCTGTCTCTTCAGTTTCTCTGATGGCTCCAATTTTCCCATCCGATCTTTCTTGGGTATCAGGATCTTACTTCCTTCCTTTTTTCTTCCCCAAGTTGTTTTTTTCCAGTGTCTAAATACTTGATCTTAGAGATGGTGATTTGCTGCTCCTCACCACTCTGCCGTCTTCCCAAAACCCAGTAAAATATGTTGGAACCTATGAGATGCAATGAAAGAAGTTATAAGACTGAAGTTCATAGCAGTGAATTCACAGATCAGAAAAACAGAACATGTCCAAATAAATAATCTAATGATCCACTTCAAGGTTCTAGAAAAATAAGAGAAATCTGAACTTCAAGCTAGTATGAGGAGGAACATTATAAAGATCAGGGCAGAAGTTAATGAAACTGAGAATTAAAAAAAAAAATACAAAGACTCATTAATTCCAAGAGTTGGTTCTTTGAAAAATTAAACAAAATAGACAAATTCTAGCTAATCTTGCCAAAATAAGGAATAACAAGATCCAAATCCATGTAAATAGAAGTAAAAAAAGGTGAAATCACAGTGGATTCTCCTGAAATCCACATGATTATTGGTAACTCCTTTGATAACCTGATAAAATTGAAAATTCAGAGAAAATGAATAAATTTCAGGTAAATATGAACTACAAAAGCTGAACCAAGAATATATAAGAATCCTGAATAAGCCAATTGTCAGTAAAATTAAAAAAGAAATAAAAAACTACTAAGCAAAGCTCAGATCCCAATGGATTCACTGCTAAATTCTATAAAAACTTTGGAGAAGATCTTCTGTCAGTACTCCTTAAAATTTTTAATGAAATAAAAAGCAAATAAGAAATCCCAATGTCATTCCTGGAAGCAAGTATTACTCTGATTCTAAAACCAGAAAAAAAGATGCAAATAAAATAGAGAATCACTGGCCAATTTCTTTCAGGAACATGGATGCAAAAATCCACAGTAAGATCCTGGCAAATAGTATGCAGTGAATCATCGAAAATATCATACATGATGAACAAGTAAAATTCTTTTCAGGGATGCAGGGATGGCTCAACATACACCAGTCAAAAAAATATAATATACCACATAAATAGATGCAAGGACAAAAAACACATTATCATCTCAATAGACTCAGGAAAAGCATTTGCCAAAATCCAACATCAATTCAAGATAAAAACACCGTAGAAAATAGGAATAGAAGCTCTTTATTTCAATCTGATAAAGGCCATTTCTGACACACCAACTGCCAACGTAATACTAAATTGAGAGAAGCTGAAAGATTTCCCTCTAAAATAAGTAACAAAACAAATATATATACTATCACCAACCACTTCTGTTTAGTATAGTTCTTGAAATATTAGCTACAGCAATTAAACAATAGAAAAAAAACTAAAAGGGATATAGACGGGGAAAGATGAAGTAAACTTTTTATTTTTTGTTGATAACATGATCTTCTACATAGAAGACCCCAAAATCTCCACCAAATGACTCCTATAACTAATATGCAAATTTAGTAGTGAAGCAGGATATGCAAAGTCAACACTCAAAGATCAATAGTGTTTCTGTATGCCAATAACAAACTCCCCAAGAGAGAAATAGGGGGAAAATATTCTTCACAATAGCATAAAGAAAAATGAAGTATTTAGGAATTAACCTAACTGAGGAAGTGTAAAACCTCTCCAATGAAAACTATAGCACTCTGAATGAGGAGATTAAAGAAGATATCAGAAAATAGAAAGATACAAATTATACCTGAATAGGAAGAACAAATAGAGTCAGAATGGCCCTAATTTCAAAACTTTTATATAGATTTAATGTAATCCCAATCAAAATACTAATAATGTTCCTTACATAAATGGAAAAAGCAATCCTAAATTTCATGGAACCATAAAAGACCTAGAATAGTAAAAGCAGTTCTGGCCAACAAAAGTAAATTAAAGGTCATCACAATATTGGACTTCAAGGTATACCAAAAAGCTACATTGATTAAAAAAAGAGCACGGCATTGGCAAGAAAACAGACTCATGAATCAATGGGACAGAACAGAAAATAAAGAACTGCAGCCACATTCAGCAGTGTTATTTTTGATAAAGTATCCAAATCCCTTCACTGAAGAAAAGATAGCCTCTTTAACAAATGGTTCTGGGAAAATTGCCTATCCATATGTTTCAGGTTTAATGTAGACTGATGTCTCTCTTAGTGCACTAAACTAAAATCAAAATGGGTCAAAGATTTAAACATTAGAATAGAAACAACTACTAGAAGACAAAATAGGTACAACTCTTGATATAGGGGTAGGCAGATTTTTCTGAAGAAAACCCCAGATGCACAAGAAATAATACCAAGAATCAACAAAAAACATCTCATCAAATTATAAAGTTTCTGCATAGCAAAGGAAACTACTAATAGAGGAAAGTGACAACTTACAGGACACGAAAAGTTTTTTTTTTTTTTTTTTCAGCCCTCTTTAAGGATTAATATCTGAATATATAATGAACTCAAGACTCTTATATGCCCCCCAAATGAATGAATTAATTTAAAAGTGAGCATCTGAAATGAATAACACTTCTCAGATGAAGAGATATAAAAGACCAATACATACATTAAAAATGTTCAATGTCGGTATCCATTTTGACAAATGCAAAGTAAAACAACACTGAGAGTCCATCTCACTTCAGAATCTGAATATATAATGAACTCAAGACTCTTATATGCCCCCCAAATGAATGAATTAATTTAAAAGTGAGCATCTGAAATGAATAACACTTCTCAGATGAAGAGATATAAAAGACCAATACATACATTAAAAATGTTCAATGTCGGTATCCATTTTGACAAATGCAAAGTAAAACAACACTGAGAGTCCATCTCACTTCAGAAAGAATGGCTACCATCAAGAAATCAAGAAATAGCAAACACCGGCAAGGCTGTGGGGAAAAAGAAACCTATAAACATTGCTTGTGGAACTGTAATTTAATGCAACCTCTATAAAAATCAGAATGGATGATGGGTATCTTTCCAAAAGAATTAAAAGAATCATATCACAGAGATATATGCACACCTATGTTTATAGCAGCACATTTTTTAATAGCTAAAACTTGGAAACAGCCCATTTGCCCATCAGTTGGAAACTGGATAAAGAAGATGTGTTTTTTTTTCTATAAAATGGAATATTACTCAGCCATAAATAATGAGAAATTAGAGTCATTCATAGGAAAATGGATACATATTGAGGATACACTTCTAAGTGAAATAAATATCATACATGTGTAAATACTGAATAGTTTCTCTGGTGTGAAAAACTATAATAGTACATAAGATCCTAATGAGATAATTGACAATGTGAAATAGGAAGAAAGGGGTAAAGGTGTAGGGAAAGTGAGAAGAGTAGGGGAAAGGTAATAACGGAAAAGAAAAAAATGAGAAAATGAAAAAATGGAAATAAAGTGTTGTAAATGGAAAGGAGAGGAGGGAGTGAAGGGAGGGCAGGGATGAGGGGAAAAAATGAGAACCAAGACCTGTCATGTAGAGGTACAAGAGCCCAGTGAGGAATGTAACTGTACTGTGTACCTAAAATGCACCAATAAACTCAATTTTTAAAAAAATCAGAATGGAGATTCCTCAAAGAACTAAAACTAAGAATTCCATTTCATCCAGCTTTTCTCCTTCGAGGTGTATTCCCAAAAAAATAAAAGACGTCGTACCAATACCACAATGATGTATGCAACACATGTTTGTAGCAACACAATTCAGAACTGATAAATCTTGGAAATAGCCTATATGTGTGTCAATCAACAGATGAAAAAATGAGGTATTTATACATAATGGAGTATTACTCTGCTGTAAAAATGATAACCTTGAGTCACTTGTAGAAAAATTGATGCATCTTGAGGCCATGATATTAAATGCAGTAACTCAGACACATAAGCTTAAAACACACATTTACTTTTATATGTTCCAGTTGTTTTGTTTATTTGTTTGGTACCAGGGATTGAACTCAGGTCCTTGTGCTTGGGAGGAAGGTAGCAGAACCACTGAGCTAAGTCCCCAGCTCTACTCATATGAAAAAAGACACACACATTCCCTATGAGGGATGCAATCCTTGTGTACTGCAAATGTACACCAATAAAAAGAAAGTATTAACTAGAAAAATACAATGAATCTAAGAAGTTATCAATCTGCAATAAGCTATTTTAAATATGCAAAGCAACTACTGGTTAAATGAATCAGAACCCTGAATACCTTTGAGGGTAACGATCAGAGGAAGCCAGGAGAAAAGTGTCTGAAAGGGTCATAGACCTCGATCACTTGATCCACGTTTATCACATGAGTGACTTACTTCTGTATAAATGTATAGAGCGGTACTTTTCAAGCTCAAATTTTGTAGTATATGTTATTCTGGTATTCAACACTTTTCAAAAGGTACAGAAACATTCATATTCTATCTCTCATATGAATGAGAGTATCCTAATAATACAAATAATACAAATGAAAGTATCCTAATAAAACATTAGCAAAAAGAAGTGCAAACGTGTCAGGATCATATTTATTCATATGAGTGTAATTTAAAATTGTGGTGCATAAAATAGCAGTGACCAATTGAATAAATTAAATGTTTTGAAACATGATTCCTGAGTAGAGAAAAATCAGTAATTACAATGAAACATTGCCTTAAAGAAATAACACTAAATTGATTAAAATGTGAAGTATTTCAGGATAAGTTTGAACAATTTCATAAGAATGCACAGGAAAGGAAATAAGGGAATAGAAAAAAATGTAAAAAAGGAAAAAAAAATGCAAACGAGGTCTTTGTAAATAGGGAAGGGTGAAGGGGGTGAAGGGAGGGCAGGGGAATGGGGCGTAAGCAAGAACCAAGACATTCAGGTAAAGTACAAGATCCCTGTGATCCATGTAACTGTATTGTTTGCTTTAAATGTACTGATAAAATTAATGGGTGAAAAATAATGCGCAGGAAACATAACTCCATAGTGGAAGAAAATAATTTTGTAAACAAGAACAAATCCTGCTAATTTTAAAAGAAGATATTTAGAAATATTATTTCATTAATATAAATAATATCTACCTTCCAAATATATCATTAAAAGTCAGTATCTGGGAGAATGTTTTATAACATAATAAAATATTACTTACTAGTTACTAATTATTGCTCATCATTATAAATGTATACCTCCAAGAAAAT